TAAAAAATATTTTATTACCTTGTCAAAGTCCCCAGAAGTTTGGGACAGGTCTTCAACATTACTCGTTTCATCTTCAGAAACTGTAGCACAGGAATCGATACTAGGGTTCAACTGTTTTGATTCTTCTTCAGTAGTAGATACATTGGTATGCTCCTAAAAAAAAATTTTGCGATTAATAAACTTTTTGATAAGAATAGTTGATTGAAAACATCCTCATTAATTGTTACAAAAAAAAGGAAATCAGATCATTTTCTTGTTTAATTTATAAATTACCGTTTTTAAGCAAATTACAAAAAAAAATATGTGTGTTGAAAATTAACAAAACCATAGGTGAATTTTGCTAACAATTATTTAAACATGAAAAAAATATAGAAGATGTATTAGCTAAGATAATATATTTATTTTATTTTAAAGACTCAATTATTATGTACTTACTGTATATTCAGCACTAAAATTAAGAAATTCTTCGTTATATTTTTTATTCAAAACGATCACTTTTTTGTAGCAGTGGTATAACCTACAAATTGAAGAGACGCACTGGGTAGCTCAACAAAATTGTATTTAAAGTGTTTTTTTTACGAAAAGCTAACTTTAATACACATAATAGTTTTTAAAAGTGTTTCATCATTAAAATCAATTATTTCATCATCCGATCCACACAAAAAACACTTTTTTGTCATTTTTTCCAACAATAGATAGTAGCACGTTTTTTCAATTGTATTTATAGCGACACTCTACTCCAAAATCATGCATAGTATATACGAGTCTATCGCTATCCTTTTCTTTTCCAAGCCCAAATAGCATGCGCATTCTCTTTCTTTAAGTGGGCGGACTTTAAACAGCTGCTATGCTGTGTCCTCTTCTATCGCATGGGATGGTCGGTTGGGACCTCACATTCACTCGGAGCAATATTTTACTTTTTAAAATTCGACAACCGCAATTCTGGACTGATTTTTCGCAGGCAACCCTATACCACCGTGTACAGAATAAAATAATCTTTAATTTCATTTAAATTTCATTCAATAAACAGACCGTTGCAAAATGCTAGTACAGATTTACCTGTTTATACCTGGCAACCCTATAGTTGTGACCGGAAAAGAATAGGCAACCTAACGTTTGCATATTCTATGGGCTTCATACTTTCGATTGGTATAGAATTTATCTAATAATCATACCGGTGAAATGTTTAAAAAAATATTTTTTTTTAATTATTAATTAAACATACTCTGGACTGAAATTTGCTAGGCAACCCATATGGATTATATTTATTGACATATTAAATTAAATATAAAATACGTTTCATTAAATAAGCATCTCGGTGAAGGTCGTTTTATATCGGGATCTTATACTATTATTAAAAAAATTGAATTGCTCTGAGCCACATTACTGTCGTGGCAGTAGTGACAGATGTTACTTACCCGCCGAACTAAGTATTAACAAATTATTCAAAAATATAACAATAGCCAGGCAGACAGTTTTTTGAAGGTAAAAAAGAAGCTATTTTATAAACATATTTAATACAAAATTTAACTTAGGATTCGGCTCACCTCAAACGGACGTATGCTCTATATATTTACAATATACAGAAAAAATCAAAACAAGTGTTGACGAGAAAGTGAAAACAGATCTAATGATTCAAAAACGAATTCATACAAAAAGGGCCAAAGCTTTTTATAATTACTTGAAGGATCAAGCACCAAACGTTTCGATTATATCTTTTGATTGTTAATGTGTGCTGGTCAAAATAAAAATTTCGCTGTAATTGTAATGTGTCAGAAATGGATGACCACAGCACCCATACATATTAAGAAAATGGATATAATCTTTCCTATAGTGGGACAGTCATTTCTGCCTCCCGACCGCGTTTTTTGGCAGAACAGAAAAAGAATTTCGAAAACGAGATACAATATTGGAACCTTGTGAGTATATAAATATAATAAAAGAAAATGCTACTATAATTGAAGTCGGAAAAAATTGTCTCGTCCAAGATTCGAAGGAAGCTGTTAAGAAGATCATAAAAACACCCGGTCAGTGGCATATCCCTTTTATGAAATGCAAACGATTCATTATAAAGCGATCTAAGTTGTCTTTTGAAAATACAGTAATTAAGGGCGAAATAAATTATATGATTGACACGGGAGTTTTCAGAAGTGTTTGTAAAAAAAATAAAAGAACATCCGAAATTGATGCTCAAAATATGCAAACTATGGGAATCATAAAATCTCATTTTGGTGATTCCTGGAGAAAATTTCCAATTTTATGCTTTTATGACAAATTAATACCACAAAATGTAGAAACAGATGTTGATCAACAAGAAGATGAAGAAAATATCTGCGAAGAAAATGTTGACCTACCTGATGTTCGAATTTAATTTTTTTTAAATAAAGCTATAATTAATTGTTTTCTTAAAAGATACCGTGTGGAAGCAAATGCTAAAAGATTTCATAATGAAGGTGTCTTATTAGAGGAGCGTCGTGGGGGAGACCATAAGTCTCATTTATACTTAGCGAGACAGAAAGCAGTAATAGAATTTATTAAAAAATTAAATTGCTCTGAGCCACATTACTGTCGTGGCAGTAGTGACAGATGTTACTTACCCGCCGAACTAAGTATTAACAAATTATTCAAAAATATAACAATAGCCAGGCAGACAGTTTTTGAAGGTAAAAAAGAAGCTATTTTATAAACATATTTAATACAAAATTTAACTTAGGATTCGGCTCACCTCAAACGGACATATGCTCTGTATGTTTACAATATACAGAAAAAATCAAAACAAGTGTTGACGAGAAAGTGAAAACAGATCTAATGATTCAAAAAAGAATTCATACAAAAAGGGCCAAAGCTTTTTATAATTACTTGAAGGATCAAGCACCAAACGTTTCGATTATATCTTTTGATTGTCAAAAAAATATGCCGCTCCCAAAAATTCCAGATCAAAGCACATATTATTCGCGACAATTTTACGTTTATAACTTCACTATTGTTACTGGGCCATCAAACACAAAATTAAATGAAAATAATACTTTTAGTTACATCTGGACGGAAGATACTTACGCCAAAGATTCTAACTTAATAGCTTCTGCAGTATTTCACCGATTAAACAATACATCATTTTCACAACAAATAGATACAATCAGATTAATGGTCGATGGGTGTGCTAGTCAAAATAAAAATTTCGCTGTAATTGTAATGTGTCAGACATGGATGACCACAGCACCCATACATATTAAGAAAATGGAAATAATCTTTCCTATAGTGGGACACTCATTTCTGCCTCCCGACCGCATTTTTAGCAGAACAGAAAAAGAATTTTGAAAACGAGACACAATATTGGAACCTTGTGAGTATATAAATATAATAAAAGAAAATGCTACTATAATTGAAGTCGGAAAAAATTGTCTCGTCCAAGATTCGAAGGAAGCTGTTAAGAAGATCATAAAAACACCCGGTCAGTGGCATATCCCTTTTATGAAATGCAAACGATTCATTATAAAGCGATCTAAGTTGTCTTTTGAAAATACAGTAATTAAGGGCGAAATAAATTATATGATTGACACGGGAGTTTTCAGAAGTGTTTGTAAAAAAAATAAAAGAACATCCGAAATTGATGCTCAAAATATGCAAACTATGGGAATCATAAAATCTCATTTTGGTGATTCCTGGAGAAAATTTCCAATTTTATGCTTTTATGACAATTTAATACCACAAAATGTAGAAACAGATGTTGATCAACAAGAAGATGAAGAAAATATCTGCGAAGAAAATGTTGACCTACCTGATGTTCGAATTTAATTTTTTTTTAAATAAAGCTATAATTAATTGTTTTCATATTATTTTTGGTCATACGTTCCGTATCCACTTCATATAATATTTATATGATATTTCAGTAATAAGAATATAATTTCTAGGTGCACTTTATGCATAATCTTATCGCTGGCATGCATTTTTCACAACGTATCAATTTGTGTAGTCGTACTATAGCCTAAAAGTAGCATTATCAAAGTCAGCAATGTCCAATGACATTTGTTTCAAAAATAGCAATGTCCATATGAATGATTCAAAAAGCAAGTCCATTATGTTTTCGTATTTTTTCAGTTTTAGAGCTACTGTTGTGCTTATTAACAATAATTGAGACTGGGTCATTCATTATTCGATTCATAATATGTTAAAATTGAACTCGTAATGTTAAGTTTTAGGGGGAAAAAGGTTAAATCAATATTTTACTAATTCGTCAACATCGGACTTTGTTGTTTTCGAAACTATACCCCTCATATATTATAATTAGCTTTTATGGACATTACATAATGAATTGATATGACAAAATATTTCATAGCCTGACATTGTATGATTGCGAACTTTTGCTTTTTTGAAACATTGTACAATTATTAATATTTTATTGTTTATTAGTAATTTAATTTCTCAACACGGGCTACTAAAGGTTTAGAGATTTTATATCACCAAAATTGTATAATTGTTTAATTTATGATTATTAATTTTATTTATTAATTTATAAGTAATAACCATTAATTTTTGTTGTTATAATTGCCTGCAATTTTTTTTAAATATTTTTGCATGTAAAATTTAATCTTGAGTGCGTGTTGGATTTTCTGTAAGCCACAAGAGGTTTTTAATTAAATAAATGAAATGTGTATCATTTAAGAAATGGATTTTTTTTAACATTAAACAAAACTTACTGTCTTCGATAAACTTTGAATAGACTATATAGAGATGTACTGGAGATGACCTACACATCAAAGTTGGTTTTAATATGATTAGAGAATATTTTTGGAATATTCGTAAAATATCTTGATGCTTAACAAGGCACTAGACGTGTGTAAATAATATATTTAAGTTATAATATATTCAAATGGTTAACTAATCCATAGCAAACGTTCCTGCATTATGAACAGTTGAATGATCAACTTGATTTAACGACCTAATTTTATCATTGGTTATAACTTTTAAAAAAATCCAATCTCTTTATTGGTTTATATTACCTATTCTAGAGCGTCTCTTGGCCTGATCTTCTTCAGAGTCATAGTCGTCGTCCTCATCGCTCCCGGAACTAGTTGTTGTATCAGTTTCATCGTCTCTATGTTGTTGTTGAGTAAAATATTCGAACTGACGTCGATAGAAATGCAATTGTAAGTAGTGCTGCAAGAAAACGAATATAAATGTAAGTAATTAAAAAAACAATAGACAGATTTTAAAAATTTACATTCCTGGGTGCAGGACCGTACACTTTGGCCAACTAGTTCTAGCGAGTATGTTATACATATCCAAGTATGTTAAACATAGAGATGTGTCTCCCAACATACACAAAAGTAAGTTTACTAAATACCACATCTCAAAGCATACATGTGTAGGCAGGTGCCTCATGCATTCAAAATCCAGCGGAATTCAATTTCAAACAAGATCTCTTGTAATTGCAAATTTTGCATACACGAAAAAGAAAACGATTCTCATATTGTGCCCTTTTTACTATGCGCTCTTTTGATTTATTTGCTTTCTTTTTGAGGTCCCGTATTTGTCTTTCTCAAATTGTTTTCAATGTGAAAGTTAAACAGAGCTCGTCTATAAGTAACAGTTATTATTTAATGAATAAGCAGTTATTATTTAAGTAGCAAGCTTATCGCGGGCTTTGAGCGCGGCGACCGCATCAAGAAATTCCGTAACGAAAATAAACCCCTCACTCCGACCGGCTCAGCATTGCGGCGTTGAAAGCCGTGCATCGTCTAACGTCGCTTCAGTTCGGCAGACTTCGGAATAATGTTTGTGTGCGTGCGAATAGACGTATTTAACTTCTCATTTATTCAATAAAAGAACAAACATTTTTTTATCGGTCAACACGCTCAAAAAGTGTAACTTGAATTAATATGAAATAAAAAACAAAGAAATAAATAAAATAAATAATTATAATTCCATGTTGATAAAAAAACCATGCAATAGTTTTACCGCGGCAGTCCTCGAGTACCACACGTATTTTTTAGTGTTTTAATGTGTTCTTGGACGTGGTGGTGAATTTCACATGCCTTCGAAAAAAATACTACCTACATTTCACTATTTTTTTTATCAATCATTACAATCTATTAATAGTCCACTACTGAACTTAGGCCCCCTCCACAAATTGCCCCGTAGAGGGGATTACACTTAGCAGAAACTTTAGAAATTAATATTAACGACAGCAGCCACGTTAATTAGTATTTAAATAGGTAACTAGCAACACACATAGCACTTATCAACACACAGTACCACGACACTTACTAGTGAGTGCGCCCATTGTAATAACACCATGCGAGTGTAGTGCGCGGCGTTTATGACGGCCGTTAGTGGGTGTGGGCTTGATGCGGTCAAGAAGGAGTCCGGTTGGAGCGAGTCCATCGCCGCACTCATAAGTTGCGTCAGACGGATACGCCACTCTTCTATTAACTCTAGTTGGAGCTCGAGGAACTGTAACCTGAAATTCAACAGCTCGAGTTACATAACAGAAACAGAAACTTTTTTATTCAATGTAGATTATAAACAATACTTATTGAAAGTCAATTTTTTCATTTACCACTGGTTCGCAAAAAAAACCTCTGTCCTGGGAAGAACCAGCAAGAAACCCAGCGGGACTATTTTCTTTTTTCAAATAATAGCTTACAATCATGTTTAAAATTAACAACATAAGACCAACTAGAAATAGCTTGGTGGCGATCACCCCTCCCAGGGGTTATTATCATCCATAAATTCCTTAATATTATAATAACCCTTTTTATACAAACTTAGTTTAATAAAAATTTTGAACTTTGCGTATGACAAATTTTGTATATTTTCTGGAATATGTTGTAAAAGCGTATACATCGCCCCAAGAATGAATTACTGACTCGGTGGAGTCGAGTAACTGGTACTACTAGCTTGTGTCTGTTCCTAGTATTTACAGAATGAATATCACTTATTTTTGCAAAACTACGTTTATTCTTGTGTACGTACATTACATTTTCATAAATGTATTGAGAGGCCAAAGTTAATATATTAATTTCCTTAAATTTTTGTCTCAGGGACTCTTTTGGTTTTAAATTATATATTGCTCTAATGGCCCTCTTCTGTAAAATAAATATAATTTCAGTGTCAGTCGCGTGTCCTCATAGCAAAATACTATACGACATAATGCTATGGAAACAACTATAAACTATTCCAGCTATTTCAACACTGGCAAGAGTTCTAATCTTTTTTACAGCATATGCTGCAGAACTAAGTCTGCTAGCTAGTTTTGATATATGGGAGAGCCATTGAAGCTTTGCGTCTGGTGTGATTCCAAGAAAAATGATGGTATCAACAAGACTCAGTTTTTTGTTACAGAAAATCATAAATTTAGAATATCTTTTGATGACACTTTATGAAATGGAAAATTCTTTGTACACGCATTTACATTTTGTTTAAGTAATGATTCGGCGACGGCAGGAGAAGAATTCAGTGACTTAGTGGTTAAGTTAGGAATATGAGTAAAATATTTCTCGAAAACCATTGCAACGTCCTGATCTGATTCAGTTAATTTATTGTTAAAACTTAACTGGTAGTTCGAATTGCGAGAGTTAACCTTACCAGTTTCACTATTAATTATACTCCATGTCATTTTAATCTTATTAGAAGCCGTCTTTATTTTGTTGCTCAAATACAATGACTTGGCTATGTAGCAAAATCTTTTAAATATTTTGGAATATTTTTTTACATATTCCCTAAATTCGACGCTCGGATTATATGACCTTTCATTGTAAAGTTCATATAACCTTTGTCTACTCTTATGGATTCCTACTGTCGTCCACTCATTAAATGCCTTGCGATTGTTCAAGGAGAATGTTTGAGAAGTAAAAGTATTATTAAATTCATTGCAAATAAGCTTAAATAATGTTACATACAAAAAATCTGGATTATTTTGGTATGAAAGTGACGGAAGTTTTTTTACTATGTTAATTCTAAACTTCTCCAAGCGACGTGCATTTACTGGAACAAACACTACTTTTTTATTTACTTGCTTTTTGTGAACATAAGGTAACGAAACTAATTTTCCACAGTCATCAGAGCTCAATTTTTGAATAATATATTTATTGAACGGCTTAACATTTGTAAAAATGTTATCTATACATGTTGCACTAGATTCAGCAATACGCGTTGGGTCCAAAAATAAATTAAAAAGACCATAGGATTTAAATAATGAATACAAACAAATGTAATATTGGTGGAGGAATCTTCTAGGAGATTGATATTAAAGTCTCCACATATTACAACAGATTTATTCTGTTTATTAAGCTTAGCAAAAACTTCCTCCAATTTTTTTTCTAAAGTATCATATAAAGAACATGTGGGTCTGTAAACGCTCACAACAATGAGGTGCTCAAACTCAACACAAGCAAATTTCTACAGTTCGCTCAACAGAGAGGCTCACAATATCTTTACGTTCTTTATATGATAATAATTTACTAACTAAAATTAAGGAGCCACTTCTTAAAACCGTTTCTCTATTGAAAGAACATAGAATACTATGATAATAATAATATATATTATAAAGCTGCAGTGTTTGTTTGTTTGAACGCGCTAATCTCTGGAACTACTGGTCCGATTTGAATGATTCTTTCAGTGTTGGGTAGTCCATTTATCGAGGAAGGCTATAGGCTATGTTTTTTTTTTTTCAAAATTAGGGATCCGTAATAAAATTGCTATTTTGTAACACAAGGTGTAAAATCGAAAACCTATTTTTGCGTGCGCTGCAAAAACTATTGACAATAAAACAAAATGATGTACTATGGGTTTGTAGATCCCATTAAGACCTACAAAAAAGTCCGCGAGAACATATATCTAGCTATCATGGTTTAATCACAATAACCGATTTTGTGTTCAAAATAATTATTAAATCTTCTGAAGAAAAAAAAACTACGTTAAATATGTATCGTTATATTAATCTTTATCGAAATTAAGCATTATGTTATCAAGAGTATTTCTGTAGAAGTAAAATACTTTTTGTTTCATCTCAATCGGATATTTCGTTTAAAAGTTATCACGTGTGTAAGATGTTAAGAGTTGGTACCTATTAATGAGTTATGTACCATAGAGTTTTTTATCAACATAAAATCCTGTAATAATCTTTTTCGAAATATATTTGTTGATGATTGTAAGTATAAGATCTTTGAAGAGTATAATAAATACATTTCTAAAATAACTCTGCTAAGGAAATCCACGCGCGCTTGATGCAAGCAAGACGAGACGCTGGAGGCGCGGCGGCGGGCGAGACGAGGAGGCCGCGCTTGCTGGCCGCCTGTCGCTCCCCCCCCCCGTCGCGCCGCCCGCGTGTTTTGGTTTACAAGGTACTATGCCGCGCGGCTCAGACGCGTGGTCGGCTCCCTACGGAACGGTTGAATGCAGCGTTACGTTTTTTGAAGTCATTTACGATAATTCCTTTGACATATATTTCATACGACTTTTAATAATTACTCACCTTACGTTTCTTTTACCTGATTACTACGTTTCAGTTTATTTTAATTAAGTTTTAATTTTATACGGTTTTTCTTTTACCTCTTTACTATAATGCCTAGAAAAAGAACTCAGCTTTCTAGGCAGACTGCTACTGCAAAGCGATTGCGACTTCTACGCAGCAATGAAACACCCGAAGAAAATCTGCACAGGTTCGCTACTCAACGAGCGATCAGTGAACAAAACCGTGTTAGGGAATCGAGTGTTGAACGTTCGCAGCGGTTAGTCTCACAAAATATCCGTACTTCGGCGAATCAACAACGGGAATCAAGTGCTGAACGTTCTTAACGTTTAGCCGCACAAAATTCCCGAACTTCGGCAAATCGCGAGCGGGAATCAAGCACTGAACGTTCTCAACGTTTAGCTACACAGAATTCCCGCACTTTGGCAAACCGGGAACGGGAATCAAGCGCTGAACGTTCCCATCGATTAGCACACAGAATTCCCGCACTTCAGCAAACCGGGAACGGGAATCAAGTGCTGAATGTTCCCATCGATTAGCACAGCAAAATGCACGAACAGCAAGGAACAGAACTCGCAGGCAATATAATTTATTGAATTCAGCATTTGCTTATGATTATACCCTTGACTATGCTGAGCTAAATGGTACTAATATTTGCAGAATGAATAAAATATGTAATTCATGTCAAGCAAAAAAATGGCCGGCTGAAGCTCCTGGACTGTGTTGTAGTGGTGGCAAAGTAAATATTCCTAAAATTCCAGCACTAACATCAATTCTTAAAGATCTAATATCAGGCTCACATCCATCTTCTAAGCATTTCTTAAATCACTCTAGACAATATAATACTCTGTTTCAGATGACTTCATTTGGTGCCAAAGAAATTCGTAAGGAACTATGCCCATTTTAAAGTCCAGGGCAAGTTTACCATCTGATCGGTAATTTACTCCACCTGAAGGCGCACACGTTTTTGCAAACCCATACAGATCAGGTATCTTTACACGGAAATTTAAACCCAACGTTAAAAACCGATCTTATCTACGCTCTCCCAACATATCTTCACGATCACAATACTTATATTCAAAGTTTTAAATATAATCTCGAAAAAAGACCAACGAATGATTTTAAACTTATCATTCATGCTGATGTGAAACCTCCTAATGAACATCGAGGTCGATATATAACGCGCCCATGGTAGATGAAGTAGCTGTTCTTTTAATAGATGAAGACAAAGGTCCCCGACATATAGTGTTAAATACCAGAGATGGGCGCCCTCAGCGAGTTACTGTTTCCCTTTGGAAATGACGGATATTGTATAAATATTCCACAGCAAAATACTGCTGCTCTAAAACTATATCATGTATGCAGTTTTATGCATTTAGACTCATGGTGAGAATAAATGACTTTAACAGCATACATTACTTCAAAGGATTATTTAATCAATATTGTGTTGATATGGCGGCAAAAATGATTTCTGAGAGGCTTGACTTCATAAAAAAGAAATCAAAAAAAAAAACTAAGAGCAGAAGAATATGTTCATTTAAGAGATGCCGTGGTTAATGATGGCAATGTAGACGCTTCTAATGTTGGCCAGCACGTTATATTGCCATCTTAATTTACAGGATCTTCTAGATACATGAATGAAAAAAGTCAAGATGCCATGATCTATGTCAGGAAATTTGGAAGACCAGATCTCTTTATAACATTCACATGTAACTCCGAATGGCCAGAAATAAAAATTGAGTTACTACCCGATCAAAATTCTTACGACAGACATGATTTGATTTCTAGAGTATTTCATTTAAAACTAAAAAAAATGATACACCTATTAACAAAGAAAAATATATTTGGACCATCGAAAGCCTTCGTTTATAGTGTAGAATGGCAAAAAAAGAGGTTTACCTCACGCTCACATTTTGTTGTGGTTGGCTAACAAAGTGCAACCGGATTCCATAGATGCAATAATATCGGCTGAAATACCTGACAAACAA